AAAAAAAAAAAAAAAAAAACCAAACAAAAAAAACACAATTCTGAATCTATTTCAAAACTTTTGTTGTGAAAATGACTGTTTTGTTTTTCAGGGATATCAGCACAAATCATAGGTTTCTGTAGTTATCTTGTCTTTTCCATGGGTATGGAACTTTAAAATTTAGGACAAGTTTATAGTCAATTCTTTGGTATCTCTTTTGCTCTCAGTACAGAGCAAGAGTGCTGAGGAACTAAACAACACTGGGACAGGTTCTCAGCTGCATGAAGATCTGGTCATAGAGCCTGCAAATGACGAATATTTACCTCCCTTTAGAGTTTTTATGGAAATTAAAGCAGGTCTGAGATAGATATGATTTGGTTTGTTTTTTTTTTTAAGGTCTCTATGTCAGATAGCATAAATAGATACTTCAAATTCTGTTTGGTAATCCCCATCTCTGTAACTGTCCCAGACAGCTGTGGCACATATCTGCATGTACATGAAACAACTGCTCTTTTATGAGATTATATTAAAGGCAGATTGCATCAGCAAATTATACCCACAATGATTTTATATTATTGAAAGTTTTTCAAAAAGTACTGTCATCCTTGGCTAATTCACTTTACCTGATAATTTTAATTGCATTGGGTTTATTTACATTTTATGTATCTATATATTTTTTAGATTCTTCCTTAATTTTTAAAAAATATTTTTCATCTTTATTTTCCCTCAGAGGAAGGGAACTGTGCAACTGGGACCCATGAAAATTACAAAGCTAGGAAATCAGTATTCACCTACCATTTGCCATCTAACTCCAGTGTCCAACAAATAGCAGGCAAAATAAACATAATAAGAAAATGCTGCATGCCTTCCTGGAAAACCTTCATAAGACTCAAGTCCTGTCTGAGACACATGTAAAACTATTTTACAATTCTCATTCAATAAATACAACTCCTCATCCTGAATAGGAAGTATCAAAATAACTCTAGTTAAGCAGCAGAGTCTGTACTTTCTCTGTCTTATTCTGGCTTTTTTTCCCCCACAAAGAGGTAAACTCTAGAGAGGCATCTGCTTCCCAAATACAGTAATTATGAATCAATAATTCCTTTCATACAGAGCTACCAGCCTCAGGGTGGCAGTTCCTATGGCCAGGTAAGCATCAGTCAGTCATCAGTCAGAATGCAGCCTTTGAGAAATGGAGAGCCATGGCACAGCAAAAGCACTTAGCAATCCCTCAGAAGTTGATCTTTAAAGCACATTGTCTCTGAAAGTGTGTGTTATCCATGTACTGCTTATTCATCTGGAATCCCAGCGTGTGAGATCATGGCACTCAGCACCCTCGTGAGAGCCAGGAGCATGTCCTGCTCCTCATACTGCCCTGCACAGCTTTAGGAAGCAGTTGCTTCCTTTCCCTAATGCAGGTGGAGTTCCGTAGCAAAAGGCAAGTAACCAAATTATGTCCTTGTCCTAGGGTGGGCCAAGTTTCTCAGGCAGCAGCAGTTCCTATGGCCAGGTAAGCAAACTAAATATTCCGTAGGAAGTTCTTGACTGCTGTCTCTGTGACCAGAATGACTGGCAGATTTTGGAGAGTGATGTTTCCCTTGGCAGTCTGCATCTTGATTTGAGTCATGGCTTCTGCAGCCCAGCTGCCAGCATACTGCTGTCTCCTTTGTGTTTTTTGAGAACTCCCCAAGCAGCTGTATTTTCATAAACATTATGCTCTTTAAAGAAGCCTCTT